TCCATACCCCTCCAGGTACTGGCAGCCTTATCTTTGACACCCACTTTCTTACCCTGCACAGCATTTCCCAGGCTTGTCCAAAGGAACTAAAAGGCTCTCCTGAACAGACCTGCAGCCACTTCTGCTGACACACACCGAGCAACTGCTTATAGCCACTACCCCTACAATGGGTTTTCTTCCTGCTCCTACCCAAACAAAACCTGAGGTTGCTCCCAACAGCAAGGAACTCACTTCCAAAATGCAGTGTAGCACAACTGACCACCAACAGGAAAGACAAAATACATCTAAAAACTCGAACTAATTCTATTCTAGGCTGATGTAAAATACATTTCCTATTGCAGTGCTACGATGCCACATTCTGACACTGTGCTGAATCTAAAGAAATAGCATTACAAAACCTGCTGGAAACACAAGTTTTAACTCAAATGCATGCTACAAAGAGGGAGCAGGGCTTTTCTGCTGCAGTCCTAATGGTCAGGTAGTTTCACCCAGTATTTTTTTTGGTTGGTTTTTAAACTGAATGATGCAAGACAGCTAGCCATTTTTAACTGCAACTGAATTAAATGCTCCATACTCCAAACAGGTATCAGATTTTCAAGACACAATTAAGCCAAATTCAAAACTTCTGTGGTTGGTATTCAGGGTTTAAACCCATTGAGATAATACATATTCACCACCACCGCTGCAGCGATGTCCACAGAGATAGTGAGGACCCCACACACAGTACGCGACAGCCTGTGGAAGAGCAAGATGAGGAAGGATGAAAGCAACAGAGAGACAGGGAAAGATGATGAAGATGGGAAGACAGGAAGACTCCAGCTGGTTCCTCACCAGCACAAGCCAGGAGCTGCTGTTTGCCTCTTGGGTGAGTGGAGGGGACAGAGAAGCAACCCAGGGTGAGCAGTGGAGGACTGGGGTCTCTCCGTACACAGGCCAGCAGTGCCTTTGCACGAGCGACAGCAGGGCAAAGAGGTGCAGGTACCCCAAGGCCTCACTGAGCCCGTGCCTGAGACAAGGCTATGGCAAAAGGCAATGGAGCTGGGGCAGTTTTGGCAGACATCTCTTTGAGAAGGGCAAGAGACTGGTGTGCTTTAAGCCCAAACCAAGACAGAGGCAACAGGGACGGGAGGGCCCATAGGAGGGCAGAAAAGCAATGATGTTTTGCTGTGTTCCTCATGCTGGACCTTGAGCTTTAGGTCTATCCCCTTGGATGTGTATTTGCAGAGCCCAAGTAGGGCCTGATCTGTAGCTTTGTCCCCATGATGCTACCACCATGAAAACACAACTAGACAGCAGTGGTGCAACTGAAGCTCTTGACTGACAGCAGGTCAGGAACACAGACACATCCACCACCAGATCACAAACAGGAGTGCTGCTGGGACTTCAGATGCATGGAAAAACAAAGATTCACTTACACTGAAAACGAGTGGCTTACACAGACATGTGAAAAACCAAAATGCTTTAATCCATCTATCAAGAACAACAGTTCAAATTATTTCATTGGATACATTAATATTGATCCATAATTTACAGTGCTATGGACCATACACAAATTATTGCTGCAGTCAACAGCAGATGAATATCAACATTACAGTACCAAGCATCATAGCAAGAGGCAGTAATTAATGTCACTTTTTCAAGAAATATAGGTATTTATACTATTATCAACATCAGCTTCCCCCCCAGTGCATTTTATGTCAAACAACATAAATGTAAGTGCATTATTTTGTGCTTTGTGCTTTCCTTACGTACCTTCTTTTTGCTTTTACAGGTTGTAAGAGTTAAATATTGCTTTATAGGCCAAAAGCAGTAAGGAAGAACTTCATGGTACTCTGCATGTTCCTGCTTGTTGCATGGCTTTGACAAAGGAGCATTGGTTGATATTCTGTCCACCAACTCAGGGAAGCCCAGTGTCACACCAGACATTGTCATCAAACTGGGCAACAAGTTCTGACTACCTCACTCCACCTAATTCATGCCAAACCCTGCCTGCAATTGCTGTCTCTGTCCCCTGCCACTGATACCCTGTAAAACATCACAGCCACACATCCCACAATGCTCAACGGGGGAGACATCTCCACTTAGCCCCCGCCTGGAGGTCCATGTCTCCTAGAGATGTCCCTCCCCACTGCAGTGTCAACGTGCTGCTATTCAAAGCATGGGCAAACTCAGAGGAGAGCTGTAACCTAAGGAAACACAGGGTGAAGAGTGAGCAAGTCACAGCCGAGTTATATGTTACCCCAGCACAACCCAACAAACAGGGAACACACCACACAGCTGCTGGGACCATAGCAACTTGCATCAAGAAATCCAGCTCTTGATGTAACTGTTCTTGAATCTTAACTCATTTCCACACACCATGTAGCCAAAATATCGGAATCACGGCTGTCAGCAAGTACCAGTGGTTTCACATAACCTTTAAAAATAGTTATATACCGCAGTCTAGACTTCTGTTCCTGAATGCCCATCATGGGATTCAAACCAAAAAGTCAACGTATTCAGTGGTTCTCAGTACCTACGCTGCAGCGTGCACACCTGATTTTGTTGTACAAGGCTGTAGAGCTGTCCTATTGTAATGACGAAGGGTAACACAGCCCTGTGTTACAGCTACAAGCATTTTGCAGTCCTGATTTCCTTTACCTGCCACCCTGACCAAACAGCAGCACCAGAAGCCTATACTCACATCCTCAACTCAGAGTGAGCTGCCTTGCTGTGAACTGGAACATTTCCTGCCTGGGGACCACAGAGCATCCTGCAGGCTCCTGGACCACAGCTTCTCTACCCTAGGAAAGACACATTCCCAAAAGCAGTCTGAGGTGGGGGGGAGAGGCATCATTATAATCTAAATACAGCTCCTCCTTCAAGGAAACAAAAACAAAACCCTAAAAGAAAGAAAAAAGCCACTACTTGGTGGTTGCATCAATGCTAACACATAGCTCGCTGCTCAAGCGGAAACGGAGACGGCTGGACACAGCCAGCAGCAGCCACAGAAAGAGCAACATGAACGCAGACCCCGGAGTACCGTAACAGCAAGCTGTGCCCCACCGAGCCCTTTGCCACTAGGGCCAGGCAGGGAACACTTCAAGAACCATCCACAGGGAAACGTTTGGGTGAAAGCTCAGCGAGCCACGCCACAGGCCAGGGAACCCCTGATGCTGTCCCCCACTGTCCCATCGCTACCCAATTCACATTAGATTGCTGAACACTAACTGCTGAGACCACAGTTTCCTTATGAATCCTGCCAAACTGGCACTCGAGTCACTAACCATTTCATTTATCCTATGTCATTCCCAGTGTAGCACGAAGGAGAACGGGAAGCTCTTTGTTTTCTATACGTAGGCACCACGCTACACTTCAAGGTCCTATAAAACATCACCCTAAAGCTCTCTCCTATGCCACACTTCAGTCAGTGCTAGTCGAGGAAGACTACAACTAGAGTTTAAGGCACTTCATTCTGAACGAGATACACTTGCCTGCTGCTTGCGAGTCAGCTGTAGGCTGCCATTGGAAATCCATTCGATCCCCCTAGCTCGGAACACCACGTGTCACCTCTGTAAAACACCTAGGCTTGATATAATACGAGTAGAACTACCGTTATTGCATAGGACTACACTTGAGTAGATAATGCACCAAACTACTTTTACAACATGGTTGCATGTTAAAAATTAATAACATTGTTATCAAGTAACAGTTATTTGCAGATACAGTAAATTTACTCTTTTTTTTTGGATTTTTTTTTTTCCTTATGTCAGCGCCAGTGCTGAAATAAAACACAAATTGCTATAACGGGTATATTAACTACATAGTTATGTTTCCAAGCATAGTACTACTTTTTTTTCCTGTATCACTAAAAATAAATATGTAAGTTCAGTTTCTCTACAGAGTCGTTTTATTACCTAATCTAAATTTGTATTCTACCTTAAATGCGTTTAAAAACATCTTCAAAGTGAGACTGTAATATACAAAATATTCTCAAAATCTCTCTTAAAACACAGAACCCTGCAGAAAAGCTTCCTTTCAAGTGTTTACAAAGAACGCAGAAAACTTCCAATGAGTTTTAAAAATGTCAAAAAATCGTTGCAATATTAAGAGGCAAAAAACCTTACAAATGAAATACAAATATATTTAAAACAAAAAGTTGAGGGTAACTAAGGAATCCATGCAAATCAAAAGTAACTGTACAATGCAATTTAAAAAGAAAACAGAAAGCCAATTAGATATGTACAACACAATGTGCCCAGCTGATAAAACACACTGATTTTTGCCCAAAGAGTTGATACCAACTTACAGTGTTCCTGCCTGGGTTGCTGTTGGCAAGTCATCATCGTGTTACAAACCAAAATGAAAATCTAAGAGAAAAAACTCGAACCATGATCAAAAGGAAAACCCAAATCAGCTCAGAGTAAAATTAAAGGGCACTCTGAGAAAGAGTCTCTCATCTCCCTGCAGTTTTCAGCAACAGCATTTTCTAGCACAATCGACACAATCAGGATGTCTCAACACTTTTGGTTTTTGTTTGGATTATGAGTGGAATAGGGTGGGATTTCTCCTCCCTAAACACTTGTCATGTAAAGACCAACATTTGAGGGACACTGTATCTTTAAGGCAGCACTATTCAATTCATACGATTACAAATTGGACTTTGTTGTTGTTGCTTCTTTACATTCTTTAACTTTACATTTTGTTTCCAAGTAAATAGGTTGCATTTACAGTTCTATGATTCCCCCCTCCCTCCCCCAGTAGAAACAGACTCTTCATTTATAATTCTATTGCTTTGAGTAGATTTGACCAGTTCAAAGTTCTTGGCGAATCCAGTTCACAGATACTGTACATATGCTGTACAATATTTTGGAGGCATTGGTAGTTTTAAAATAGAATATACAAGTTTTTTCACAAAAATGCTAAAAAACTCCTATATATATAATATGTACACACACACTCACACACACCGGGCTACTGATGAAGCACAAGGAAGGAAAATCAAAAAAAATCTACAAAAGGTAAATTATTTCATCTACTGATCAAGAAACAAAAAGCAGTTTATGAAAGATGTGCCAAGTATATGCTAACAAGCATGGTCGGTGTCCTCCATGCTCACGCTGCTCCGCCTGCTACTTGTCTTCGATGCTCCAGGAGACACAGAGGACAGTAGTGGGTCAGTCACTCCGACAGGGGAGAGGGTATCGTCCATCAAGATATCTTCCAGTTTGGATCCCATTTTGGCAGGAACACCGTAAGTGCCAGCTGGTTCAGTCACGTTTCCAAGGTTGTCACTGAAGGTGATGGTACCATCAGTGAGATCGAGGGTGGTAGTGCAAGACAGGTCTGTGTGGTGTGGCATGATGTCTTGGTTGCAGTTGTCCAGCACTGGCTCTTGTTTGATGACCCTGTTGACCATATCAGGGGAGCAGAGGCCTGTAGATGGAACAAGGGACAGTCCGTGTGCCCGAGCTTGCATCTCAAGTTCCTGTGAAGGAGGAGAAGGGACAAATTAAGAGAGAAATCTGAAAAAAAAAAAAAAAGTGTCGTCCTACACTCTTGCATACTGCAACTTAACAGTCTCCTCCTGCTGTACACAAACTGTTTCCTCCCTTTCCAGCAGCAACAAGTGCTTGCACCTTGAGCACTTCCACCCTGCAAAAGTTCACTTGACCATTAGTCTCTTGAAGAGGTGGGTGAACATGGCTCCAGAGAGGTTCTTCACACTTCCATTCAGAACCTACACCGCAGCCAAAACCCAGAGCCCTGTAGAACAGACATGTTTCCCCTTGGGCCCCTTCCCAAACCAGTGCCACAGCAGGTAAGTTTGGCATCGGGTTGGGGCGGGGGGAATGTGTGGAAATAGCAGAAGCACATGCTTAGTGATTTTTAAGTCATATGTGAAAGCACAGCATGTCTCTATGATGCTCGTACTTTTCTGCTGAGACACTGGCAGGGATATTTCTCATTCTACAAGTCTGGCAGAATTGTAAGTAAAGAGGTCAGCCAAAACTGAGCGATGCTATTCCTGCACTGAAAAGTTACAGGCAAATCATGAGGTCTTAAGAGTTCACACACAGCCTGGATTCTTTCAATCTTCATCAGAAGTTTTAATTCCACCATCACATTTAAACATACAGATGCACCTGACTGAAGACGGATAATAGAAGAATTCACTCAAATGCCCTTTCTTAAATGCAGCAGCAAAAGAGATGTTTTGCTTCTACTTATGCATTATATTAGGCAATCACATCACTGCTGTGATTGTACTGTTTCTGGATATTCCTAACACTAAGGTTGATTAAAAGCCTTTTTTCCATTTTCAAGCTAAAACAAGAAGCTTGTAATGGCACACTGCAAGATCAGCAGAGAAGGTGGAACAAAAAAGCACTCCTTTCATCAGCTAACATGCCAAAATTAGAAGTTCCTTACCCTGTGCTCAATCAGAATCAAGATAAAAAGGGAAAATACAGACATTAGATTATATGCTGCCAGGTCAATTTGCCATTATTCAAGAGTCTGGTTTTTATGTTATTTTGACTGAAAAAGAGTTTTTTTTCCCCCCAGAAAAATCTTGGCAGACATCTCAGCATTGGTCACCATGAATCAGACTGGTGGCTCCTTCTAACCCACATTCCTACAAACAAGCTCCAGTTACCATTACTTGCAGTCACACACTGCAACACCAAGAGCTTTTGCAGCTTATTTATCAGCAAACCTGTATTCTGAGTAGCAGATGCCTATTGGCATGTTCCAACTTCTTCTGTCTGTTCTCAAGCTCCTTTGTGCGCTGCTGCTCTCGTTGCAGCTTACGAATGTAGTCCACTGATGCTTTTAGAATAGTTCCCTTATTCCAGCGCATATCCCTTTGAAATCAGCACAAAAAGAAAAGTTAACACTATCAAGGAGGTTTTTCTTTTATAGGTACCAACTTCACATTGGCAGCTATGATTACACCTCATATATACATAACTCCTGGATAATATTTATTCCAAGTTCATGAATACAGAGAGCATTTGAAATGCACTAGAGGGGGCCCGAGTGCAGCTATTGTGAGGCAGCCTGCAGGACCCTGCAGCTCTCCAGCCCCTGCCTTCTGCATGGTTTGGGACCAGCACTGTGCAGAGAAACTGAAGACGAGGGGCTCCTTTCATTGCCTCATTACAAGGCTGATAGACAACAAAACCCCCCAGGACTTCTCAAACACTGAACAATTTACTATCTGGGTGATGCCTGATTTCAGCTGAGGAATTAGCACCATATATGACCTGATGCTTCTGTGCTAAATCACCTGAGGCGATGCCAAAAGGCTCCCAAGCAGCAGCGAGCAATAGTCATGGTAGCACTGCATCACAGCTGTGTTATGGTAGGAAGAGAAAAGCTCAACATAGCAGCATATCTGCAGTACTGTCTTCCTTGCCTTAGAGGAAGCTACAGAGCTTCTCTGGATAGTAGCTATGAGTTACCCCATAGCCTTAAAATAATTGAAACTCTCCCAAAAATCACAGGGCATTGATTCAGATTTCAGTGAGACTTTCACGCTCCAGAGCAAGGGTGCGGGGGGTTCCTTGCTTCTGAATCAGCATTAGGAAAGTGCTAAGACAAGTTAATAACAGTAAAATCACCTAGAAGAACTACTGAGAAATTATCACAGACACTAACAAGTTATCAGTGAACAGACACAGTTATATAATATAATATAAATAAATCTAATGCTTTATATTTTATTTCCTTTTTCTTGGAGGGAAGGGGAAATAGGATGACTTCTCAGATGAGCTGCCCTCCGTTTTCAAAGAAAGAAGGGTTGGTTCTGTCTTGCCAAGATATGGCATCTAATAAATTAAAAGAATCATTTAGCAAGACAAGCAGCCAGCTAGAGCAGTGAGATCACTCAGACTAAGGTTTTGCATTCTGACAACTCTACCTCTGGTAAGGCAGTCACTACCAGCATCAACCCCAGCCCTGCCAAAGCACAGGGTCCAGCTGGATGCTGAGCTGCTGCACAACAGTATGCCTGTTTTGTGACAAAAATCATCAAATTAATTTAAACTTAAGCAAGTTACAAAGGGAAAAATAAACCCCAAGGCTATCTTTAAAAAGTATAAAGCATTTCTACAGTCATGGAATGCCAAGATCATACAAGAAAGCCCAGGAATTTTGTTTTGGTAAATTCTTTTTCTCCCCTAAGGTGTTGTTGGTTTTTTTTTGGCTTTAAATATCTCCCTCCCACAGTCTCCTTGGGCACGTTATACTTACGGGTCATTTGACTTGGGTATCAAAGTGCCTAGTTCTTTTATACGATCATTAATATTAAATCTTCTTCTTCGTTCAACTTTAGGAAAAACAGCACAAGGGTTACAAGTAGTATTCATACTTAATAACAACATATAAAGTGCTTCGTCAAAGATTTCTTTAAGCACCTTTGAAATATTTGCCTGAAGCTTAAAATCCAGTGACAGAGTAACTTGATTTTGCTGTCCTACACATGGACACACTAAAAGACAGATGTTTTGTCTATAGTGTAAAAATGTGGAACTGCTGAAGTGGCAAAGTTAAGCAGAGACTCTAAAAAATGAATGTGTTAGCATAGGACTGAACCAAGGAGCAAATATTGCACAAATTAAGAGACAAAAATGTAGATGCTCAAGGCATCTCCATTTCCCAAAGCAGGAAAAGGAACAAAACATACAATCTCTTTTTGAAAGTAATCTTCCAGATGCAACATTCTGAGGATCCAAAAGTCTAACGTAAATACCAATTTTCCTGTGTGAACTCTTCATGCTAGGGAAAAGGCTTCTGAATTTGCACAAGGCATGAAACAGTTCCTTTTATCTACTTACACAAAATATTCAAGGACAACTTAAGGAACCTTTAAGTCATATGATGCTCTTTATTTTAAAATGTTCTTTTCCAATATGGAAATATGCATTTCCTTCAAAAATGGAACTCACAAAATCACCACACTGAGGGTGCACACTGATGTTTGAAGTCACAAACTGATCACATAGCTAAGATTTTAGATAAATTAAAAAAAGGCAGCCAAACTGTGCAAAGTGGACTTGTTAAAAGCAACTGGATCAACTGTTGTTCCAAATAATTCTATTGATGATGACCCCCTGCCTTATTGAAAAGAAACCAAAATAGAGTTTAAAATTCAATACTAGATTTAAGCATGTTTCACAAGAATTTGAGATACTTGGTTTATGGGCATAACATAATTAAATGGTACTATGTATTACATGCAGTGTCTCATTCAGATTTAAATCACCAGCATTCAAACTCTTAATATCTAAAATCATTGCTAGAATTGGTGCAAAATGCAAAGAATCAAAACTTACTCAAGTTGTGATTGTCCTTCTTTTGCCTCTCCTTAGCCAATGCTCTCGCTTCCGACTCTGTAGGAAAAATACATGCTGTGCATGTGAATGAAGTAATTAGAATTAAAGTAATTCAAACCCAATGTTTCAGCGTGTGAAGTATTTGCGCAGGAAGCCTGACTGATATTTGTCAAACCAATTATTACACCCATTCCAGTGAGTGAGAAAGGCCTGTGACTGCCACAACACAGCACTGGTGCTGAACTTCACCTGCAGAGCATCTCTTCCCACCCTTCCCATACTGACTTCCATGATGAGAATGTTTCCCACAGAGGCCCTGATTCAGCAAGGTATTTGAGGTCAGCACACTGCTTAAATCCAACATACCTTCTCCTATGATTATATACAGCAGGCATGCTTACACAGCACACAGACGCTGAACCAGAGGAACAGCATGCTTACTGCATTGCTACCTGCACAGGATATGAAGCAGTCAGGAGCCAGAGATTCTACTCACCGGAATTAAGGTTACGTCCCCTAGTAGCACATGCATGCACATCACCACAAGACTCGAGGTGTAACTTAAGTGACCTATTGAAAATACTGTATTTTCCAGCTATACTAACTGATCTTATTAGATGAAAAAAATGATGAAAAATTCAACACCTTCATTAGGAGTAACACTAGAAAACAATGGCCCTCGCTTTGGGCAAAGCAAACATTAAAATAACAACAACCGTGCTGCACATCAGTTGTCTCCTCAACTCAACACTGCTCTTAACCTTTCCCCACACATTTGTTATCAGACTTCAGCATGCGATAGTTCAGGCAAAAGCAAAACTATATTTGTTATTTAGAGTTCTCATTTGATCTTATGTTTCTTAAGCAATTTTAAGTATTTTCATATGTTTGCTCTACCCCTTTTAATTTCTGAAGTAGGTAATGTCATTAATCCTTGCCCTGTTGCACTGAAATCTCAAAACCAGAAAGCACTACTTGGCTTCACAGCAGGCCAGTGAGGAGGAACGAGTGTATGATCTATTATCACACGTTCCATTATGGAAACAAAACCCCTCAGTGACTCCAACACGTTTCTTCCCTGCATTATTTTATTTTTAAGGAATATGGATTATGCCCCACCCAGTTAAAAATAACAGGTGATAAGGGTTTCCCTGGACTACTGAAAGCTTACTACTTCACTGCTTAGAATACAGAGCTACTGCAGTATTACACACAGTATAACAAGTCATATCCTCTTCGAGGCTCCCAAAGGATTCCCAAAATGTTCAAAAGATCACTGCATGTGTTAATGAAATTTGGGCTTAATCTGACCTTGCCTTATGAAATAAGTATGAGGCTCGTAAGGTGAAAACTGATACAAACAGCACTCCTGGGTGAACAGGATTCCCATTAAATGCTTCAGTAACTACAGTTGAAAACTCAACAACTATTATGAACACCACATGATGGGATGAAAGATGTGATCTGGGGGGGGTGTCTTCATCATTTTGATATTTATACAGCAAGATGAAGAAAAGTTTCTGACAAGTGCTAGATTTAAGTATTGCAAGCTCTCTCCAGCCTAGCTCCAAGAGTAAAAATCAGGAAATGGAGAACCAAAAGGCTCCTGCGTGCGATAACATGCCGATTTTAAAATCGCTGGCTGTCAAAAAGCACAATCAAACAGTGCTTTCTGCAGAAAGGCTTGGCCAGATCAATGTCCAAATGACTGCTGTTAAATCCGAGTTTAATTCCTAAACCTCTCATAAATTACATGCAATCTGCTAGCATATATTTTGAACAGAAAAAGCACTTGCCTAAGTCATGTCTGTGTACAGGTAAACGTAGCATACAGACGTTAAACTTAGTTCTATTCTGATGCACTGGGGACCTCCATAAGACTGCTTCACGTACTGATTTCCCTTCTCTTGCTGCTTTCTTTGCCTGAAGTCTTACACAACCATCTGCAGTGAATCCAGCAGCCTGGGCATCCAACAAGTTGGATTTGCAGTCTACAGCCACCTTTAACTTTCTATAACTGGGGCAACGAAACTATCTGTAATGCAGAACTCAGAACAGTTCTCATCCCCTCCCACCCTCCTCTTTACATAGTACAAGCTTTTCTTTTTCTAGCAGCCACAAATCATTGTGCAGTTTGTGTGTCTTCATTTGGTGCCTAACTCAAATTTTGTGCCATCATATAAATGCAAAAATATCCGCCAGCTCAGAGATTTGGCATTTCCTCCTGAGAAGCTGACTCCTGGGCTATTAAAGCTGCTCTACTTAAATTAATTCCTGCCCAGAACCTGCTTTGCAACTGAGTCAGCCTGAGAGTTTTCACAACAGAAACACAGAAAGACTGGAGACAAGAAAGAAACTCTGCCTCTACCATACTACATACAGTATGATTCCTTGTTGGGCTTAAGAATAGCCATTTCTGGGGATGACTTTGTCATTAGTTATACCCTTTAAAGTGAAGGATAATAGCAAAAATAAAACATGCTTGAGAATACGGAACTTATTTCTTCCTTCCAACTATTTAGCTTCTGTACACATGTGCTTAGAGAAAGAGGATATTAATGCCCCCCTTCCCTCCACCTGCTTCTCAGGGCTTATTCACAGCAGTGCTGGAAGAACCAACATGACAAGAAATCTACTTCATTTTCATCTTAAGAGATACGTATTCTCCAGTGTCTAATTCTACATGTTGTAGGATCTAGGTGTCCATACTTCATATTACACAGGTTATCTGTTCATTCCTGCCCTACCCTGCTAGAGCAAGGCCTCAGCATGTAGCGTTCCTCAACAAGAATGCCACAGAAACTCCAGATATGAAACTTTTGAAGTTTGGTGTTGACAGAGCAAACAATGAGCCCAAACTAAAAAACAACTCTGCAGGAGATGCACAGAAGTTTCCAGTGACACAATGCTTTCAGGGTGCAGATCTGACTATAACAACTAGGGACTTTAACTTATCATGTCACAGTGAACACATGCATGCCCACACATGAACACAACTGCACAGCACGATAACACATCTGCTAAAAAATGGCCTGCAAAGCAAAAGGTAACTGTTCATCCATATATTCTTTCTCATAACAGAACTTATGTCCAATATCACCTGAATTCAAAACAATTATGCTATTACTCCAAGGTGGTATTTTAGATATATTTACCTGTGAGCTCTCTTTTTATATTAGGAAGATTAGCTGGACAGGAGTTGCTGATGTTTAGTCCTGGAGGAGGCATGCTTTGGTTGCCATAAAGGTCAATCAAATTGCCAGACACAGGCAACTGAAAAGATAAACAAAGAAAAATATCATTTTGTTTGTCCTTATGAAAGGCTTTGTACAGAGGAACAGTTAGGATCTGCTAAGAAATCTGTGCTCTTCTCCTGCAAACAGAGAGTGCAGTAAGGTCAGCAAAAGGTATGCACAGGCATGAGGAATAAAACACCTACATTGGGAAAATTCTGTTCTTTTTCATCACGAATACACAGAGGATATGCAGAAGAGGTAACATGCTGACAATACTGCTGTATTGTTGCTCCTCATTCTTCTGTGAAGCTATTCTATCTGTACCCCCATCACTTCTCTAATTCAAAATATCTGAAAGAGCCTACAGAGCTCTCCTGAAGGAAGCCCCCCTTCTTCCAGGAATATGTGAGTGAAAGTACTTAGCAAGTTGTCACATGCTTTAGGAAGAACACTATTTTCATGTGTTTGAAAGCTACCTACACAGAAAACATTTAAGCTTACTTTAACTTGTTTTTCGCCTTACGTAACAAGAATGTGCACCAGTAGGAGGAAGTTATTTTTATATTAAGTTTTCTCAATTACTTGTTCATTCTGCTATTCTTATTTAGGTATGTTTAAGAAAGGAGATTTATAGAGAAATAGGTTAGTATTCCAACAAGACTTACCAAAGCTATCCCTTTAAATTGAAATGTATTTAAAAACATTTACATTTGTCCTGAGTGGATTATTTTACCCATCTCTTATTTGTTTTCAAACCAGATTTTGAAGAGATGGGTATAAAACACTTTGATATCTTATCTGAGTGGCAATACTTCTTACCATTGTTGCTGCAAAGAAAACCCATCCCTCCAAGACACTGATCCTGCAGAGATTAGAGTAAGTATTAAACTTTACACCCATGTAAACAATGCTATTGAATACAATGGAGTGAGTCACAGCCTAGGCTGGTCCTTGCCAGACTGAGACCTAACAAAATTTATCTGCCATCTGGAGCTACTCAAGAAGCAAAGCTGATATGCAGCCATTAAAATACTGACAGCTAGAAGCCATGCTGATACTTCAACAGAGAGTGGCCAACTAAAACAAAGTCCCCTGAATCAATCTTTCCATGAGAGAGGAATAACATAACTGAAACTGAATTCTGAATTCTCACCAAGATTCAGCCTTACAAATCCTTGCCCTCCCTTTTGCTCTTGAGTGCAATATATTAAAAAATGAAAGGAGAAAAAAGGAACATCTATCATAAAAGCTAAGGTCACAGTTGTTCGTCACAGACTATGGACCCAGTTGTGACCTACCCACATTAATGTCAGGGTGACCACGGCTCTACAAGTTGCCCCTTGTATCTTTTGGACCCTCGAACGCATCCATGACACAGGCACGGCAATAGCGTCATACACCCTTCTGACTTGGATGTGCTTTTTCTATTCATGCTCCTAAGCATGGGGAGAGCACAAAGACCTTGTTTGTAGCTCAGGGACTTGAAGTTCAAAACCAGACATGTGAAACCTAATTAGGAATTTCAGGGAAATGAAATATGGAGAACAGTTAAGGTCACCAAGCTGTTTTCCCTGCTGCAAGATGAATCCTGCTTGTTACAAGTTCATGGGTTTTATTTCTTTTTCCACAGAAACACAGATTTCCATGTAAACAAATAGGACCCGTGTAAGCGGTCACAACATAAGGAGGCAGTAACACAGACAGCTGCTGAATGGGCACGCTGAAGTCCTGCAGAACTTGCATGCACCAGAGGAACCCAAACAGAAGCTGTGCACCAACTTGAGCACAAGCACTGCCAATGTAACATCAGCTAAATAAAGGAAGATGGAGGGAGAAATTTGCACTGCTGCTGAATGTTGCAGGCTTGTACGTGCACATGAATGCTTATCAAGGAAGCCTACATTAGATGTAGATGCCAACAATCTTGATTTGAACTCCACAGGTCAAAGCTTCAGTTGTAACTTTTACTACGAGTGTGACTACCCATATGGTCCACACTCGGTAGGATCCTCTAAGAGGCCTCTTCTCCAGGATGGCTGCAAATCACATCTTTGGGACTAAATTTATACAATTCCTTTCAAATTAGAAACATAAAGTGTATCCAACACATCAGCTCACCTCAAAAGGCTAAAACACAGTTAAAGGTAAGGTAAAACAGAGGTATATCCTCTGTTCACTATTATATTCCAGGTCCCAGAAGGATAAAATTAGTTAACTTGTAAGGTAAAACCAACAATCATTAGTGCAGAGTTTAAAGAACTGGAAAGGGGAGAGGATCCCTATGCTGTGGGCATTGGTTTGAGATGGACAGGTCATCAGAGCTGTGAGCACACAAAAGCAGGCACTAACCTGAAATGGGGCAAAAAAGCTGCCCAAAGAAACAAAAGTATCTTATGCATAATGCAGCAACACCTAGAATTTATTTCAAATGCTTCCTAGTGGAAGAAACTGGATAAACTTAAACGTTGTTTGCCAAAATTTCAGCTCTAATCTGCCTTCCTATCACTTCGCATCTGCTTTGCTTTCTTTATTAATAGCTGCTTTTACACACAGAAATTACAAATATGGTAATTATTACAGCAGATTCATCACAGTGTCCATTCAGGGGAGTCTGAGGCTTTCCTTTCTCCACTACTCCAACAAAACAAGCACTGACATTCAGGCCATATGGGCTCTGCATAAAACCAATGGGACCTTGATTGTGTGATCAGCAAGCCTGTTTCTAAGGTATCAGTGCATATTGAAATGGGTTCTGTTCCCCAGCTCATGCGGCCTACAGTGTATTGTGCTATTCCTTTATTTATAAGCACATGCTCCTCAACAACCCCTGAAATAAGACTCCTCTCTGGAGTTAACTTCCACAGGGATGTCACATTAAGAAGTGGAGATGCATGAACTCACACGGCTTGCTAGGATTGATTAGCTGGATGAATTAATTGTACTGTTTTATGCTAAGCTGAGATGACTTTACACACAGTACCTACCTGTTCAATCACTAGGTCCTATCTACACAGAAAACCTCTCGACAAACTAGTGACCATTCTGTGATACTCTTCACCACAGAAGCAAAGCCAGTTAACTTGTGACCCAATACCAAAGTTTACAAGCACTTCTGCAAGCAGTTGAGTGCAATGAGCCCTTTTCTATTAAGAGGTTCTTGGGAGTTTCCCTTAACTCACTCTACACAGAAATCCCTGATTTTGCTTATCAATTAAGTACTGTTAACAAATGTAACAAACTAGTCCTTTTGTTCTCTGCTGGTTATGGAACAACACAGCCTTTGTCGCATTCTCAGCACAGCTATTTATAGGCTGCATCTCTTTAAAGACCATTTCCTCTCTTGATTCCTTCCACTTCTACTTAACTCAGTCTACAGACATTAATTCCTTATTAGTAAAACGTTGCGTGTTTTAAGAATTAAATCCTGTTCCAAAAGGAAAGTGTTATATCAGGTTCATTTTTTTACCAAACCAACTGTTGGGAAATAACAGTTCAATTTTCAACTCTTCAGGTTAATTCTGAGACTAAAACACGAGTTTTTTGCATCTAGCAATTTAAATGTATTAGTTTAAAGTCTTAATTCTGCTATTTAACATCCTTATTTTACAGACTTCACCACACACAGTGGGCAGTATCTAAAATTTCACAGTGAATGTGGATCACGGAGCCTTTACAAGGCTTCTTGTCAGGCATCAAACAGGAGGGATGCAGACTACCCTAAATATTGACTACATGGACTCCTTGTGCCAAAAGAGTGCAGAGTACCACTATGTCTGGAAGCAAAGAGCCTCTGCAGGAGTCCCTGTGAAATGAGAAAGCACAAAGAAATCCTAGTCCCCTCTGACTTAACAGGTCCCAGTCCAATGCAACATCAGAGAAAGGACTCAGAAGAACCTGATTCCTCAATAAAAATAAGACTTTTTACTAAAGACTGTTTTAGGTTTTCCTCTCCTGTTTCAGGACAGCTGCACTTTTCCAGTCATCCTGGATTAAAGATTAAATTAAAACTAAAAATTCATTCTTTCAGTATGACTCTGCAGTGATTTCTCCATCTCCTCAAAGGGCATCACTCAGACAAGGATGCTGGTGGGCTGTTTCCTGCAGCGTGCACCTTGTCTCAGAGGGCTGTGGGAATCTGTGGGAGCGTAGGACTAGGTTAACATGACATCAGACAACTACTGTCAACGTGAACCTATGCTACAAAATGGATCCTGTGTGGTAAAAGCTGTAACTTTTGGCACTAGATAAAAAAGAAACAGACGCCAGCACTGGCAGACATTTACCCAGCCAGATCTAACAGCTCTTAAGCCCAAGGCAAAAAATTCACTGGAGCTACCCTCCACAAAAGATCAAAACAAGATTATGCCAGAAGTACGATTATACTAATGCTCACAGCAATGTGAACCAGCAAACAGAAACGGCGACTTGCTCATAACCTGTGCCTTCCCTCACTCGCCAATTTTCACACCTCTGTGTTCTTGTCTTCTGTCACAGGCTTCCTACTTCCTCTACCCCAGTTCAGTTTCTTAAGCTTCTTTATTCCTTCCCTTTTTGTCTGTTTTGAAGGCTGCTTTTTAAGTTTTTCTTTTGTTTGTTCAGTTTTGTAACATCACGGCTGTCATCTAGCTAGGGGCTTCTGCGCATTTGGAATGAGGTTAAACTAAAGCTCTGATGTTAAACTAGAGCATCTCTGGACAGGGACACTAACACATCCTTAAGCACGGTGTACAGTTTCTTACTTGAACATGAAAAGATACAGGAATCTGCAGCGCTGGGAGGTTCCTTCTAAGCTGAGTCCAAGTATAATGTCCATGGTGATCTTTAACATCGATGGGTACGAGCTCACTCCTGGCAGCCCAGTTCATTCCTCTCTTACAATCCTCTCATGTACTAACTTGACTTTGCAATAAGAAAAGCAAAATTGTCCTTTGTATTCCCTCAACCTGATTCCAGCTTCCATTTTTAAATTCATATTTTTCATTGCAACTGCATACCTTAAGCTCTTCAAAGAAAAACTAATTACGCTCTATGGGACAATACAATAACTACTTAATTGCTTGGAAAAAACAGTCATGCTAATGTTTAGCATTCTCTCAATTAGACAATTAGACTTAGCAGGGAAATCTGAAGGAAAGGAGCATTGTACCGTATTTGCCATTTGCAGGGCTGGGTCCACCAAGCCAAGGATTTCTTCATTGTAACTTGACTCCAGACTAATTATGTCATCGATCACATCATCCATCTGCAGCAGAAAAGGTGGACAAAGGAAAACAAAACAGTTATCGGAACACTAGGATACAGAGGCCCGACAAAGCACCTGAACCACACACTAGCTCTCTGTAGCACAGGCCCAAGCATGCTCCAATCCCCCAGCTATGACTCCTGCTATTCAGGCAGGACAGTCAGGTCGCGACAAAGCTGAAGCTTCATGGTCTAACCCATTCTTGCCACTAGCAATTGCCACTGCAGTTCCTGCCTCAACACACTGTTCCTCCCAGGAACACAGGAAGAGATAGCTCCCCACAGAATGAGCTACGCTAAGGATGTGAATCTCTATCCCCTGTCCAGCTCTGCCTGCCTACCCTCCACCTCTTTATTCTAGTTGTGGGGTCAAAGCCTGCATACAGACAGTGATCCCAAGCCTCTGCCACCTGCACAGGAGGGAGAGGGAACAAAGGCTTGCTGCTTGCTAGGTGACAGGCTACCCACCCTCAATAACAGAATCCACTGGATTCATGTCCCTCATACACCTTCCCATGAAGCAACACCCAAGAGCAGCTTGGAGGTGATTTTAGGTAGTGCAAGACATCTTTTTTTCTGGGGCTGGGCTGGAAGGTGCCTCCATAAGCTCCTGCACTGTCAAGATAAACAGATCCCTTTAAAACACCCATGCAGGTGCTCCAAACTGTCCTGCAGGACTGACTACATCCTTTTTGCTAGCTAGAAAAAAAGAAGCTTAAATGACAATCACCTGTAAAAATCAATGTGTAATTTTGGTGGTAGAAAAAGTGGTATATAGTATTTTTGTACCAGCCCAGAAATCGTGATCAGAATGAATTAAATTGTTCAAAGTGAGTGCAAAAAAAGGAACTAACAGTTACACAGCCCATACGTGAAGTCCTGTTACCAGAAATAGAAACCCCTTAGTTTAAAAATAAAAAAAAATAAAAATACAAATGAAAAAAATGAAAGAAAAAAAAAAGATGACTCCGGAGGATGAATCATCATGGATGGATTAAAGTCTTCTCATATCATTAAACACAAGTGTGATCTGCACAGAAACATGATCTTAGGTGCTATCAGGACAAGGAGACATACATGCAATCTTGGGAAAACTGCATTAGGAAAGATTTTCTTAAGTGAGACCTTAATGCACGATTGATACGATCTTCCGCTCTAGCATTACAGTGCTACGAAAGCACTGCCCCTCTTTAGATACCTTAATGCGCTTTTGACATCAATGCTAACAAATGCTGTTGTTTTGTTCCTGAAATATAGCTGATATTCAACTTCTGAAAGGCACTACAGGGCAAGTTTATTCTTCAACATAACTTATAACATGCTGTGCTCCAACTCCTGTGTCATCCAGTACCTGCATGCATGATGCTCGTGAGTGTGTATTCAGAGCCGGGCACTCACTCTCAACCCTGCTTTGCTCTTCAAATTTATAAAATCCCTGCAGAAATAAAAAGAAAATAAAAAGAAAAAAGAAAAAAAAAAAAGAAAAAGCAAAGCATGGATCTGAGTTCATGGCACAGTCTCAGTTCCAAAAAGAGCACGATTTAAACAAGTCATGCACACATGTGCCCGATGACACAGCAAAGTGAAGCTGTAAATATCTTGGGGCGGGGGGGGGAAATACTTGGATACAGCTAGGACAACAGGATGGAACTATCTGATTTTAATTTCTTCCATTGCTATGGAGCACAAGTAATTTCTCTTGCACATGCAAAATATGTTCTGTAACAACTGTTTCTCAAAGCTGCAGAACATTTTACTCATGGAGTACATCTATATTAAAGATCTGGCACAAAGGCTTGAGGGGGATGCATGAAGGGACACAAGGGGTTCAACAGTCGTCTCTCATCTGTCGTGATACAAAGCTATTGACGTGATTTTTAGGCTTGTTAACATCTTTCAAACCATCTTCCTTCAGCATCTGAGCACAGAAAGTTTTTACCAGCAAAGATTAACACAAGTTAAAGAGGACTTTCAGGTATACACTACAGAAGTCTTCTATTTGCAGCACTGAACTCGCCATGAAACAGAAATCAGTAACATAGGATCTATTAGCTGGGACAATCTGGCCTTCCAGCTAAGCATGAGACTCGCTCAAATTTTACTGTAAAAAAGGCCTAACATATCTCAAAAAGCTTTGTGTTTTTCAGTTATTTTTGCTCTGCTCTTTGCTCTTTTCACGCGAATGAGCCATAAATAACATTATTTCAGAAAGCTACAGCTTATAAAACAGCTTTGTATTCTCCAAAGGTCAATTGTTCACTGCATGCATCAGGCAAGGGGGGTGAAAGAAAAGTAGTTTTGATAAACATAAACTAGCTAAAATAGTTCAAAACAGAGGAAGTTAGTGGGACACAGGTTTTCTGCCAAAATATCCTATGTAAATATATATTAGGCAGGCAGACACAGAGGTAGTAGTTGCACTTTCAAATTGAACAATTCAGAAAGGAACAAACACAGCATCTCAAGAATGAGAAATACAGTGTGAAACAGAAAGAAAGCAGATTGCAATTTCCTTTTACTGAATAATACGAACAGGGAGAGCGTATTACCTCTTTCTCACAGTTGGAGTTAAGGGTAAGCATAGCCATTGGGCTGTTGGGCGCGCTGCTTCCAGTTCCAGGCGGCATGACATGATCTCCGGGCTGGTTTGGACACGGCAAGCTCAGGGCTTGGTTGGCATGTTTGTTTGCTAGAGTGGTAGAGAGGTACTGCTTTACCTGCTGCCGCTGGGCTTGCTGAATGTGGTACTTGGTTGGATTCTCAAGGTGAGTCTGCACCTGTATGACACAATTGAAGAAGTGCTTTATTGTTGTATATCCATTATCAACTGTAGCACGATACGTACACACGATCAACTTGAGCTATAAACTTGTGACATATAGACCAGCTAAACTTTTGACTTAAGTACAAACCTGTTCAGCTCCAAGGAAGACAACAGCACTTCGCTAATCCACATTCAGTGGCAAGAAATCAGTTTGACTTAGTATTTCAATAACTGACTTAAGGGTAAACCAAAAAGTCCACTTATTTTTCTATAACATGAGATTTCACACTTAAGACCAATGCTCAGGTTCTCCAGTTTATACAGATGCTCCCAAACAGACAGTTCTGCATTCAGACCTTCATGCGACATTTAGTTTTCACTAAAATATGAAGAAATGAGGTACTGCAGGAGTTGTTTGTCAGTAGCTACATTAAAACCAAGTGTTATGGAGTGTGATCCTTCATCGGCTATCAAGTAACAGAGAGATCAAAATGTTCATTGTTGTTTTTTTAGGTTTTGGTCATTTGGGATTTTTAAGTAACACATAAGGTTAAGAATTAAAAATAAGAGGAACAAACTATCATTGTGCCTACAACTTATTTATATCTCAGAGATACAGCCTAAATCATATACAAATAAGACAGCCTGTTTATAAACACATTATGCAAATAAGATGCAAGAAGAGAAAAAAGTGTTTCAGTTCAGATCAATCACTGTCCTCGGCAACAGCTATTTTGGTATTTAAGATAAGCTTTTCAGTATACAGATTATTTTTCTTATATACAAAATAGGGAGAACTCTTACCCAACTATTCTCATGCACCATAAATAAGCAAGAGAAGAAAGGCAATTTTTTTCTATACAAAATTTTCACCATATCCTGGAAACACTTTGTCACCATTCTGCAATCATTTGTTTTTATTGGAAAGTGGAGAGCAAATCTAATTATAACGATAGTTTGAAAAGTTTTTTTTGCTTTAAAACAGCTCTGTTAAAGTGACTTTTGCTGTTACAATGGACCATGTTGTGGAAGAAATTAAATAAAGTGCACTAGATACTAGAGGAAAAGGATTTAATGTATACTGTAAGCCTTCTTACCAATAGGTTTTAAAAGAAATCTGCAATAACAACTCACCTGATAATGATTATACTCAAGCATTTCCAGCATATTACTAAGAGGTTGGAAGAGAAGAGACTGCAATATCCTTCGCTCTATGCTACTCCGGTTTGAGGGATTCACATATAGAAGGAGGCACCATAAACAAGCTACCCGAAACAGCCGAAGAAACTTGAACACCACTGCTCAGACTTATAGTAACCTAGGCTAATTAGCCACGCATGCAGAGAAACAAACAGTTCACACAGGGGCTCCTCTTGGAAGCTGTGCAAGTTTAGCCCTAAGTATTGGTATTATCTTTTTCCCCCTGGCTTTGATGTCATGGTTTTTCACAAACATAAAAGAATCTTTTAAGTGATGAGCTATCAAAGTCAGATTGACAGTTTGCTCAAGGCTAATTCGCTATTCATCTTTCGTTCCAGTCGTACTAACAGACAATGGTATTTTTCTTTAGCAGTAAGGTTAAAAGTTTTTAAGTACAGAGTAAGGAATAATCGAACAAATGCCCCATGCGCGTAATGCGTATCCCCTGGCAGTGGGGTGCACTGGCTAAAGCCATGGGGCTACGCAGTCCTGTCATCAACTTCCTGGAGCCCCACCAGTCTACAAGGGACCTGAAGCTGAATACAGAGGATATGAAGAAGCTCCACCACATCCTCAGCCTCCTTGGTGCTTCAGAGCCCATTATTTCTGTGTACAGCTAGAAGTTTTCCAGTTCGGGAATGGTTGACAATGGACTAAAGCATGACTCAGATGCACTTATTTGCACTTATGCACAGCCATGGTACCGTGCAGAGCCCCTACAACTTCCAGAACTTATTTCTTCTTTCTATCCAACACCTCAACAAAAGCCTGTACTCAGGCATAGACATCAAAAGCTGCTCAACTTGTATTTTCCAAAGTCTCTGATGCATAGGGAGGCACACTTGAGACTGCATTTCTAGATTGTTTAATCTGATTTGTTGCACTAAATTGCAAGACAACACAGTACAAGTCTGCTGTGATTAGTACAGCACTTGCTTTGTCAGTCCCAAACTGCGTTATCAATTTTCCTACCACCAGTGGCAAGACTTACGCTACCCAGATAAGTCTATCTTTCTCTTACGTTTTCATCTTCTGAGCAAATGAAGTTATCAGTAACCATGTTATTTTTGTAACACTTATCTTGGAATACGTTACTTTAAAAGCAAGCCCTATTTATCTGACAGAATTTGCATATTCCCTTTCCTCTCCAGTCATCAGGTACCACTGCTGCTCTCCAGGCTCCATGGGGTGGAGATCTCTTTTCTCTGCACCCATCTCCTACCCACCCTCCGCACTCCCAGGAGAGAGACAAGCCAAATTCCAAGATCCACAGCTCTGTGTCATCAAATGTTACAGTATTTTAAGTATATACTAATACACTAAACTGACTCTACTACATATCAGGTTTAAAACATGCACTGCTGATATGACTTTTGTTGGAAAAAAAGTGCTTATTTCACAAGAACTTACATTCCCCAAGACTTTGTTGCACTATTCTACATCAGATTATCCTGTGTCATTTTGCTACTCTACAATTCCTCTCTCTCTCAAATTGGCTGTGCTGCCCATCTCTCGTTGGCCTAGACCACCTTTTTCTGCAGTCTCCACCTCAAAGAGAAGCCAAGTATGCATACTCGGGCAAGTGTCCTGAGATACACCAGTCATGGTCAGCCCATAGGTAAGCCTTAAAACAGTCTCACTTTATGACAAAATGTCTGACAAGCAAAGAGCTGCAAAACAAACGCTGCAATTAAAGTCCATTACCACAAATTTGAAACAGTGAATAAAAGCTTTAACTTAAATAAGATCTAATTTTGGTCCTCAGCCCTTTCTTGACTTTGGGGTGAAGAATAGCTCTTGTTGTTGTTCCATGTTCACAAGACACAAAGTACAAGATGCCTGCTGATTTGGATACATGCCCTAAGAAATGTGAAGCAGCTTGAAACTGAATCCTCTGGATCTCCAAGCCACCTATCTTCAGGGATCTCAACCCAAGCTTTGCTGTAGCATTACTGAAATGAGGAGAACACTGGGTTTTGGACATTTGGGTACTGGCAAGTAAGAAGTAATGGAAACATCATCTGCAGACCTTTGGAAATCATTTAAGACAAGATGGCAAAACCAGCTAAATTTAATCACACCACAGTAAAGGAAGAATTTGGCTACAAGGAACTACAGATGAAGGATGGCCTAGTGGCAGCCTACAGCCTGGATTCAAAGCAACACCTGGAAGAAGGCTGTACTTCCAATTTGTGCATATTTGAAGTTACTTGATTACACAGGTTATGCAGAATAACACTACCTCAGAAGTAAAGGGCTACAACAGGTTTCATGCTAGTACAACCTTCGATGCCAGCCCAGAAGCAACTCCACTCATCGTCATGGGCTGGCTCCAAGCACAGTTAAAGCTACCACTGCATCAGGTACTCCTGCGCTATAAGTCTCACAGCTTCAGTGGTTCAAGCTCCATCCGTTTTTGCCACAACGATGCTGAGCTAGTATGTTTCTTCTTGACCTGAAGCACTAAGAAAAGCAGTATAAAAAAATCAGCTCGACTGCACCCATATGTAACCCAGCCTAGGCCCTACGAGACTCAGCTGGGCTAGAAATGTTTGGAATGGAGCCATGCTGATTACTCAGCACTCTTTGCTGTTTGGACATACCCTGGAGAACAACGTTATCTCAAGCAGGGAAAAAGCTTTCTGATATCTTCACTAATCTAGACATCTGACTGCTAATTCCAGTGTATACACCCAGCTCAAGTATCTGAGTAAGGGAAAAACAGTCCTTGAGAAGCTGTCTATACTCTTCCACATCACAGAAACAACAGTAATAACCTATATTCATAGAGCAGACTTTTCCCAGACCTTGCAGCTAGCATCAGTCAAGCAACCAACCAATGGCTTTCACTAGCTTTAAGAACACACACCATATCAGTGGGAATTTTAGGTGTACTTCAGACTACATTCTTCAAAACCCTTGTATTACATTATGCATCAGTAGACAGGACTCCTGAGTAGACCCACATACTTCCTTAAATCTGAACAACTAAAAATGTTTCCTGTTCAGGTGATCAGGAGCTCAGGAACATAAGCACAAAGCGTAAAGCTCAAATAGTTCCTCTCTATGAATCTAGCACAAGCAATTCAAACATTACTTCTGACACTTGCTCCTCTTGTCAAGTCTTGCTGGGTATCACACAGACTTCATTTGCTAATAACTTGCTAATAATGGCAAGAGCTTGAAAGAGGCCAATCAGGAAAACCATCAGGAGCAAAACATTAAATGAATTTGAGGAGAACAAAGCTACATTTGAAACCCAGATGTCGGAAAAGGAACTGTCCACCCTGAGGACAGCGATCTCATCCTGCATCAGGAAGCCCTGCATGAACAAGTCTCCTTCCTCCACCAACTCTTGGGCTTCCCCACTTTTCATCTCCCCCTGTTTCATGGCAGGTATCACACCTCCATCTCCCTCACCCCCTCTGGCAAAGGCCATCACCACTCCAGAGTCCCTGGCCATCCCCACACTGGGGATTCTCCATAGGTACTGCCCAGAGCCAGTACCATGCTCAGGTCTAACTGCTCAGATGGGAGCCATTGTGCAGCCAAAACAGCTCCCCATGCTTTCCTCCTCCCACTGAGTTTACAGGACACAAAACCCATTTCCTAGCAAAAAGCAAATAGCTAAGAACCATGACACGGAGTTAATCAATGGAGACCTCATGCCTGTGTATGCAATGCTGAAGATGCCCCCAGATCTTCTGCTGGCACAACACAGGTGACAGAAGGCCATGCCAATGCCAGCAGCTCTGGGCTGCCTCTCTCCCTTGGCCTCCAGGGGGGAAGAAGCATATTCCCATTCCCCAGACC